TGCAGTAGCCTGTGCCCTGCCCCGCCGTACGAGCCCGCAGGTCCTGGTGGGGCTGCCACGGACGTCTGCGGATCTGGCCCGCGGTCAGCAGGCAGCTGGCCCGGGCGGCCCGGTAGGGAGGGTCCCCGTCAGGTCACTCGTTCCGCGGTCTGCCCTATCGTGCAAACCCTCCGGGATGCAGAATCCGGGGAGAAGGTGCTGTGGGTGCTGTCTGCTCCTAACATCGACCTTCCCTGCCCTTGGCTCTGGGCTCTGGCCTCGACCCTGTCTCCAACGTCGCCTGAGCCCCAGAAGCCTTCTGCTGCCGCCGACACTGCGCTCAGGACAAAGCTGCAAGAGCAGAACCCCCATGCCCGACTACAGGGAGGTCCCTCTAGACCCAGGCTCCTAAAACACAGCACAATTTGTCTCTAAAGCAAAGCAAGTAGGACAGGATTCCTGCCCCCCCATAACCTTACCCTTAACTTAACCAAAGGCAACAGTCAATTTTTGCGGGGACAAATAAAGAAGGAAATACATTTGCCCTCATGTGCACATGCAAATGAAAGAATGGATTTCCAAGGACCAGAAAAGAGCCCATGGCAACACCCAGTGTTGGGTGGAGACGGGGACCACCCTAAAACGAGAAGGCTTAAGACTTGCATCCTCATGTAGGGGGGCAATGCTGCTCAAGGGGCCAGAGGGCATTCCTATGCCTCAGAAGGGATGAGGCCTGGGCATGTCTACTGGGTGGCTTCTTACCCTTCCCAGGCAGCCCACAGGGCATAAAACCTTAATGGGCAGAGACCTCCCACCTGCTGCACAAGGAAGGCACAGAGTCCCGAGAGATTTTTCTTCTCCTTCACCACACTGCTCACCACCCCTGTTGGTGCTTGCTCACCACCACTACTCACAGGTGCCAGAAAGCTGGAGGGACACCAAGGAAAAGCCCAATGCAAGAGCAGTTGCAGTGGCTGCTGTGCAAAGGGATCTATCCCACAAACTCCAGCTTACCAGCTCACGCCATGGAACCATATTCACTGACCCAGGGTGAGCAGGGAGCGGACTGGGCCCCATTTTCCATCTTGGAATGGACCGGTCAGTCACCCTCATCTGCAAGTCCACCACACGAGTCTAACCAGACCTGGGAGCCATAGATCATGCCATGATGGTCAGAAGCCAAGTTAGGAGCAAGTCCAAGAGTCAGGGGCCAGCATAGGACTGGAGTCAGGATAAGGTGCTGGGCAGAAGGCAGTATACAGGCTCACCACTGTCTGCTAATTTTAAGGCCTTCCTTGGGGAGGGGCTGGCTTCCTGCCAGCTACAAAGAAGCCAGTCAGGGGTTGCCAGAAGGAAAACTCAACCCCAGCCGGAGCAGTGACTTATTGCCCTGCAACCCCCGTGAAGAAGGCCATTTGGTCATTTGCACTTTAGAGAGGGGGGAACCAAGACATGGGAAGATTAAAGGACAGATTTTTACATCAAAATAGACTACAGTACTTATCCAGCCTGGTCACCTGCATAATGCTGTCTCAAATTATTTTCTGCCTTAGTCCAGTAGCTATAACTAAAGCACATATTTTAGAAAAATACACTCAAGGCCACATTAATAAGTAGTGAAGACAGGAATACAATCTAAAGTATTTGGTCCCTAGACCCAAACACCTTCCACAAGACCCTCCTCTCCCCAAGAATCTAAAAATCCCCATACATCAGTAAATGCTAAATGTGATTGGAGCTACTGTTAGTAGAACTTGCACACAAGACAATCAATAATCCTAAAACTGCAGCTACATTATTTTGGCTAACTCCATTCTATGACATCAATTTAGAGAACATCAGACCCCCAGCATAATACATTTTCAACTTGCAGATTCTCATCTTCCATATTAAATAGAGATCATAAAAAGCTATAAAACAAGAAATGTTTTTAAGCAATATTATTTGGAGAAGTAATTATGTTTTAGGCCCCCGAGGCTGAGCTGAAACAAATCCTTTAGTTACAAAGCTCAAATTGTCACTTACATTTGTCTTTAATCATACACATAGGTAACAATCTTTTCAGGTGAGAGAGTAGTGGGGAGAAAAGGAAACTAAAGGAGCGAAGACAGGAGATGCGTCATTCCAGGGAGCCGGGCAGAGCCCAATACCCTCCGTTCCACTAGGTCATGCCAGATCAGGGGGCAGGCTGCCAGCCAGAAGCTCTGAAACAGTTTTTCCCAAGCCAGCTGATTATAGTATTAATAGCTCCTCTCACAGGTTGCAAGACTAATTACAAATTGTATAACGGTAGTGATCTTCAAATGATCTCTACCTATGCACAAGCCGTAGGTTTGTATATACATACATGGAACTGCTGAAGAGCCAAAGTCCTGTCATGACAGATCATTTTGTCATAAAAGCCAACTAAGCATATGTCTGAGAATTAAGGTGAAAACTCCCAGTCAGTTTAAGGAAAACACAAACAGAAGGGCTAGGAGAACCGACTCCAGTATTGCCAATCCTAAGTGGCCAAAAACCACAGACCTCTCTATTTTTAACAAGATTAACTTTTCTTTGTCTTCTGCTTCGAGTCTTTACCAAGCACTTCTTCAAGTTTTCCTGTGTGGGAGTGATGGCTAGAAAAACACTTTTATAACACTAAGGCTGAGATAATCATAGTATTTCCTGATCCCAGAACACCGACGTTGCCATTACAAACACAGCCTAGTGGCACGTAAAATGGCCCAGGCAAAAAGACATGACCGTGCTTCTGTGGAAGAAGAGGTGGACATGATATGGGTTTGGGACCATTCTAGCCAGAGGTCAGATAAGAGCACATACATGCCTCACACTGCAAATGAAAACTGATTTTATGCACATGCATAGCAAATACAATAGGGAAAACTACAATTGTCTCAAAACAATAATATTTCACATTACTATTGTGTGAAGAAAGTACCATCATAAAACAAAATGGGAAAAAAAGTTAAAAAACAGAAGGTTATGTCCTAAATACGTAAAGTCAGAGAATTAAAAGGATTGAACAGGCTCACAAAGGAGAGATCCAGATCAAAACCTATGGAGGAAACTGAAAGACTCTATTGGTTCAACACATTTTGGGCTGGGTTCTAAACAAAGAGGCACTATGTTTCATGATAGAAGATGTTTCATATTGAAGGTGCATAAAGGAAAACCCCAATGCTACTTAAAATGTGACTGGTAAATTCTTGAACGCTGGAAGGGATTTGGGTCTGAGACTTTGATTCTGCAGAGGAGGTATTTATGATGTCCAGGACTGAGGCTATTCACAAATCCTATCGAGCTGTGAGGAAGTCTGGAGAGGAGACCAGAGTTTGTACCCTGGGCTGCCAGGTCTGCCCTTGCCCACCACAGGCAGCTGCACTCCAGGCACAGTATCCAGCTCCACCTTATAAAAATGGTTGCTTTCTTACTTTCTCAAAAGAGGGGAACAATAATGGACACTTACTATGCAAATAAAAACCCAGAGGTTTTTTTTTTTTCCTCCTGTCTAGTATATAGACATTTTTTTAAAATTAGAAGTTGCAACAAATACGTCTGCATTAAGTTTAAAAGGCACCTTATTATTTGTGTTCAGTTTCAAGCTGGCAAGAGCCCATAATTCAGTCCAAGAAAACATTAGATCAATTCTATATTTTTAACTATACAAGATTTTATACAGCGTGCTTTGATGAATTTTTCAAATCTCCAGTTTTACCACAGACGCACAAAGAGCACTGTGACAAATGTGAAAATAAAAGCCAAATTACGATTGGATAATGTGTCTAATGAAAGATAAAGAATTCAGAAAGACCCAGCAATTTTCTAGTTGCTCCCCCCCACCCAAACAATTACTTCATTTTTTATCAAACACTGACATCCAGCCTCAATAGCTAAACTCGACAAGCATTTTTGCCTGTTGGGGTTCTTCATGGGTTATTCTGACTACTGATAAAGCCAGTAGTGTTGTGAGATTAAATTGCACTGGACAAATTGAACAAAGAGCATTAATCTGGACAAATTAGTTCCAACAATTAGAAAACAATGAGTATAATGATGTCATTGAATGGTTTCCTTGAGGGGATGGCAAAATTATACAGGAAACCCTCCCCACCCCCCATCCCAAAGACTGTGGAAAAGGCATTCTTTTTTGTTTATTATGATTTTAAAAATGTTTTTGGTTTCTTCAGGCTGGGGTAAAACATGGCCTCAGTAGCCATCGCCAAGTTTGTGGCTGATACCAAATTATTCCAGGTAGTCAAATCCCAAGCTGACAGAAAGAAGCTGGAGAAACATTTTACCAAGCCGAGTGGGTAAAAAATTGACAGATGGACTTCAATGTTGGCAAGTGCAAGGTAATGTATACGGGGAAAAATAAGCTCAACTATATGTACATGATGCTGGGTTCTTAGCTA